CTACTCAAGTGCAAGTATTATTGAATTCCTACTGTGTGTGAAACATGCTATGTCAAGATGAGTGAGACACACAAGCAGACAGCATGAAGTCACCCCAAAGAGGAGGGAATATCAGCAGCTAAGCTTCACAGAGCTGTGTGCCATAGTCAAGTGTTGTCCCATCTGGGAGGAGGATTTGTCAAGTGTCCATTGCTAGGCAAGCTAAGATTTGTTCCTGTTCATAATAATTCACTGAGAAATTAGGGCAACATGAGGAGAAGGGGTTAACTCTTTAACTCTTTAAAAAATATTTATTTAAAAGATTTATTTATTTATTTAATGTATATGAGTGTTCTATCTGCCTGCATGCCTTTATGCCAGGAGAAGCATCAGATCCTACTAGAGATGGTTGTGAACCACCGTGTGGTTGCTAGGAATTAAACTCAGGACCTCTGGAAGAGTAGCCAGTGTTCTTAACTGCTGTGCCATTTCTCCAGCCCAACCCTTTAATTCTTATATGTAAATAAAAACATTTCAAAATCGCCAAGCTACCATCTGCGTGTTCTTCTAAAAAATACTTATTTTTATTTTATATGAATGTTTTGCCTCCATGTGTATTCATGTACACCACATGTGTGCACGTGCCCTCTATGGGCAAAAAATGCAATTGGATCCCCTAGAACTGGAGTTATAGATGGTTGTGAGACAACATATAAGTTCTGGGTCCTCTGAAAGAGTGCTCTTAACTGCTGAGCTATCTTCCAGGCCCAGCTGTTTACCAACAGATAGAGATTAGAATATCCTTGGTAGGACAGGTTTTTCAGTCAGTGGGAATGTCTCTTCTCACGAGATTTGATTCACACCCTAAAGATCAAACCTATGCTGGTAGCTGGATAACCATAAGAGCAAGATAGAAACTGGTCTTAGTTTGTTTTCTCTTCATTCCCTTTCTTACTGTCCCTTAAAGAAAGTATGTGTGCTAGGTAAGGCTAGATGGACAGAACCAATAGGACTATAAAGGGGATCTATTATATTGCAAACAGAATTTACTAGAAAAGCTTACAGCCTATATGGGCCCTGTAGTTCAGCAATGGCTGTCTGCATGCTGGAGACACAAAGAACCTAGTGGCTGCTCAGTCCAGGGAGCTGGATGCCTTAGCAGTCCCAATGTGGCGCTGAAGGCCTGGAAGATTTTTGGGGAGCCACAGGTCCAGGTTGGAGCCTGATATCCGTGCAGGATAACAACAGTTGCAGCAATGAGGGTTGGCACACTCTCCAGTGGGATTTAAGACAGGCAAGGGAGCTTCACTGATATTCTCTGTGCGTTTGTGTCAGGCTCAGCTGCTGGGAGGTCAACCTACTCCTGAGGAATGTGTCCTGTGCCCCCCCCCCCCCAAGCTTTCCTGGAAATGTCCTCAGAGACCTGCCCATAGGTGTGTCTGTTCATTCCAGATTCCACTGAACTGACAACCAAGATAATTCAGCCCGACTGGAGAGAAGGCTCAGGAATTAGGAGAATTTGCTCTTGACCTGAATTTGGATCTTAGTACTAACATTGGGTATCTTATAACTGTCTATAACTCCAGCCCTGGGGAATATGAGACACCCTCCCCATGAGCACCCACACATGAGTACACACACACACACACACACACACACACACACAAATATATATACTTAAAAAAACCAATGTTTATCAGTGAGTGAAAACTGACTCTAGGAGCAAGTATGAGTCTATGCCTGCTGCTGTAACAGAATACCTTACAGTTGGTAATTTATAGATAACAGGAAATTGCTTCCCACTGTTCTGGAGACTAGGAAAGTGCAGAACAAGGCTTCAGTAATTTTCAAGTTGGGAAGGGTGACCCTGTCCTTGTTGGGCCCTCTCACAGGGAAGGCTAGCCAGAGCCCTCTGATCTCTCTTACAAGGACATTCCCTCAGGACTAAATCACCCCCTCCAAGCCCCATTTCTTTTTTTTTTCTCATCTGTATTTACCTTTTAAAGCAGAATGGGATCGGGTGCTATATTTCCACTCACAGACCTTACTGAGTTACAAGACCTAGGGAAGCTTAGGATTTTATTCTCGGTACTTTAGAAAACAAATCACATGGGGGAATTCCTCCGTTGTTTTAGCTTGTGTGCTTACTTCTAAGACTAGCACCTGCAGAATTTAACTATAGGGATGAAAAATTTTAAGATGAAACTGAAGCCATCTTTTTTTCCTTTTAAGCATGAAGCTATATCTCAGAAAATTCCAAGTGCCAAATTATTTGGTCTAATAAGGAATCCAGTGCGACAGCTAAACACTTCAGACCAAGAAGTTAATAGGTTACATTACACCTTACAATAAATATTCTTCCAACCTACTGAATCAAAACTATAGTATCACAGAATCACATAGGAAGAAAGAAATGTTCTCTTCTTCTTAGTTTTCATGCCATACGGATGTTTTAAATGTTAACAAAAATATACAAAAATCCCGGGAAATATATTATCAGAAGGAATGGAAGTAAGCATCAAACATAGACTTTTGGTGAAACTTAGTCTACTCCTTCCATGCGTGATGTGTCGTCATCTCCTCCCTGGGGTGGCATTTCTTCCCAGCAGCACTGGTATCATCCACAGTAGGATCATCCTCATCAATACCTAGACCAAGCTTGATCATCCTGTAGATCCCATTAGCATGTGTCTGGGGATCCTCTAGGCTGAAGCCAGAAGACAGGAGTGCAGTTTCTTTCTTTTTATTTTATTTTATGTGCATTGGGGGTTTTCCTGCATGTATTTCTGTGAGTGTCAGATCTTGGAATTACAGACAGTTGTGAGCTGCCATGTGGGTGCTGGGAATTGAACCCGGGTTCTCTAGAAGAGCAGCGGGTGCTCTTAACCACTGAGTCACCTCTCCAGCCCCAGGAGTGCAGTTTCAAAGAAGCAGCTGGAGATCAACCCTGAGCACTCCATTATTGAAACCCTCCGGCAAAAGGCAGAGGCCGACAAGAACGACAAATTTGTGAAGGATCTGGTCATCTTGCTGTGTGAGGCTGTGCTCCAAGCTCCATTTCTTTTTGTTATTATTTTTTTATTCTTTTCTTCTTTTCTTTCTTTCTTTTTCTTCTTTTTCCTTCCCCCTCCCCTCTTTTTCCAAGCCCCATTTCTTTTTTTTTAAAGATTTATTTATTTATTATGTATACAACATTCTGCCTCCATGTATGCCCACACGCCAGAGGAGGGCGCCAGATCTCATTACAGATGGTTGTGAGCCACCATGTGGTTGCTGGGAATTGAACTCAGGACCTCTGGAAGAGAGCAGCCAGTGCTCTTAATCACTGAGCCATCTCTCCAGCCCCCAAGCTCCATTTCTTAACAATATAACATGAGGTTATGTTCTAACATATGAAGTGGGGAGGGGAGAGGAAGGGGCACATTCAGAAAATGCTAAACCAGCTGGCTTTTAGGTATTTAAAAACTTCGATTTGCTGGCTTTAATTCCTGTGAAGTGTGTAGATCAGAGACAGTGTCAAGTTTCCAGAATCATATTATATTACAACTGGGCTCGCCATCAGCGGATATTAAAGATCAGGGTATTAAAGTAATGTTTTAATGAACAATGACCTGAAGGGAGGGACATTTGCTAGGCAAATTTCTATCAAAAGCCAGTATTTCTGTTCATGAATTGGGCCAGATGTTGAAAACAAAAGCAACAGAATCTGTCTGGCAAATTCTCACAACTGAACCGAGGGGGTCCCTTGGGAACCAACCTGGAAAAATCAGTTAATCTTTTGCTAGTTTTTGAGATGATTTTATTATAGCCCAGGTTGACCTGACTAAGTAGTCCGAGTCCAAATTCATTTTTTTTTTTTTTTTTTTGGTTTTTCGAGACAGGGTTTCTCTGTGGTTTTGGAGCCTGTCCTGGAACTAGCTCTTGTAGACCAGGCTGGTCTCGAACTCACAGAGATCCGCCTGCCTCTGCCTCCCGAGTGCTGGGATTAAAGGCGTGCGCCACCACCGCCCGGCCCGAGTCCAAATTCACAATCTTCTTGTCTGGCTTCCCAGGAGTTGCGTTGACAGGTGTGTTGGCCACTCCCACTTAGTCACCTATATTTTATTTCGGAGAGCTCTGGGAAGAAGAGCTGGGATTAAAAAAAAAAAAAAGAAAAGAAAAGAAAGGAAAAAAATAACCTCAAGCCTATTGTTTAGAACAATGCACAGCAAGGTGCCGGACACTTGAAAATTTAACTGCTAATGTTTATTGGCTCGTCCCAGTAGAGGAAAGTCTAACGAACTGCAGACAGTTTTCTTCTGTCTTACGCAGTAGCAAGTGCCCAAAAGGTGGAATTTAAACGGTGTGTGTGTGTGTTTTATTTACACTCTTGGCGTAAAATGAGAAATTTGTCGATAAGTTGAGAGACTAGGTAACTCCTAACGGCTTTTGATGGCTTACCAGTTAGAAACAAAGCAAGGAACAAAAGTTTGAATTTGACAAAACATTTTATGGTCTCTTCAGTCTACCATTTAGTTCCTGTCTGTTCTGTCTCTCTTTTGTCTAAAGTCTGAACGTCGTCCAGTGGGTTCGAAACCACTACGGAGGGATTCTGTTCATCAAGCTTTCGGATGCCGAATTTCAAAGGTGCTGGCAAATAATTAAAGCCAAGGCTTTGAACGACTGTACGCAACAACTTAGTGACCGCAGGATCATTGGACAAAGGCGACATTCCCTCTATCCAATCGTGGGGCAGTCCGGAGAGAACGCTCTCAGGATTGGCTAGAGCAAATATCTCTTCAGGTAGCGCCCCGCACCAATCAGAGGACGCCCGGGGGGGCGGGCTCTGCCTGAGACAGACCAACCGAGCAAGAAGCCAGAAAAGGCGCTTAGACGCTCGGGCCAACAAGAGAGTGGGCGTGGCCCTCTCCAGGGCTGTGGGCGGGACCTCCCAGCGTGCGAAGCGAGAGCGGCAGTGGGTGTGTCCCACAGCCGGTGGGCGGGGCGCGCGACCTGGGAGGGGCGAACCGTGTCAGCGGCGGAGCCGGATGCGGGCGGTACCGCGGCCGCCGCGGCCCTAGGGATGGGCGGAGCCCCGGCCGCTGGTGCTGGTTGCCGCGGCCGCTGCCGGAGCCCGAGCCTGAGCCGCCGCCTCTGCTGCCGCGCGTCGCTGCTTCGCCAGGCGGGGGAATGCTGGGGAAAGGGGGAGTCGGCGGTGGCGGCGGCACCAAGGCGCCCAAGCCTTCTTTCGTATCGTACGTGCGTCCTGAGGTGAGAGAGCGCCGGGCGAGCGCGGCGGCGGGTGGAGCGGCCGGGGCAGGGGCGCTTCCTGCCGGGTGCCGGGTGGGGCGAAGCGGCTGGACGCCTTGGGGCCTCCGGGCGAGCCTCGGCCCGGACCCCTGAGGCTGGCTGTGCAGGTGCTGGGGCAGGGCCCTGTCGCTCGTCACCCGCGCCTATGGGCGGGAGCCGGAGTCCGGAGCTGGGGCGCCCCAGGTATCCGGAGGGGAAGGGAGCAGAAGGGCTGCGTGGTCGGGACTCCTGCGGGGTTCCTCCAGCAGCCCGCAGCCTGGTGGGTATGCCATACCCTGGACTTTCTCCGGGAATTTTGAGAGCTCGTCTGTCGCAAATCCTGCTGCCTTTAGTGCCATTTGATGCCACTGGTGGGACGTGGTGCACTGCTTCCCCGTCAGCGCTGCTGTAGGGAATGTGGGTCGGCCCTGGCCTCTTTCCGTCTCTCCCTAGAGAATCCTCCTCCCGCTCCCTTTTCATCTCACTCCTTCCAATCTGTGCAGTTTTTAGTCAAGAAGCACAGTCACTGGGGAAATGGATTTCTGAGTTCCTACTATGTGCCGGGCACGATCCTGAACGCTTGTGATAAGTATCAGTGAACAGAACAAAGATCGCGTTCCCCAGGAGCTTACGTAAAAAGAGAAACAGTAAACGATATACATAAGTTAATTGTACGGTTTTTAGAAGATAATGGAGGAAAGGCATCCTTTCATTCTTGCAAGGTGGTATTTCAGTCAAGACTGGGAAGATGTTAGGAACCTGGGAAGAGTGGTCTAGGTAAGGGGTCCTGGACAGGGCAGGCTGCCTGTTGACAGTGTTCCTGGATGAGAAGACACAGGGAGGGAGAGCTACAACCTAGCCATGTTGAAGACCTCTGGGGCTTCTTTATCTTTTAATAGACGCCTTCTCATTTTGGATTTGTGAAGGTTGTATTCTGCTTCTGCGATTTTACTTGTTTGTTTGTTTGTTTGTTGGAGACAGGGTCTCTCTATTATGTAGCCTGGTTGTCCTGGAACTCGTTCTGTAGACCAGGCTGGCCTCCAACTCACAGAGATCCACCTGCCTCTGTTTCCGGAGTGCTAGGACTAAAGACGGTACTACGTATTGGGCCCAACTTCTGCAATTTGATCAGTAGTATGTAGGTAGGTGCTTTGCCAAATTCACTGCCTCCCAATGTCTTCTCACTTTTTACCTCTGTTAAGTGAGGAAACAGGTGGGCCAGGGATGTAAAATCAGAGACCTAGGGCCTTGTGACCTTTGCATATGTGTCTTAAAATCCAGACATCTAGTGGAGAGTAGTAAAATGGGTCCTATTTTTAGTCTTAATTTTCAAATAAAAACCACTTCCTCTGTCGGAACTTGATAGAGAGGCAGGGTCAGTCTCTCCCTGTATCCTTATCCAAGAGGTAAGGTGGTCAGTTTCTCATTATCTTTCTGTGATAGCACCCTAGTTGAAAGGTAACTTTGTAAGCTTTCCTAGTTTGCGGGAGTCAACTACAAGTGGGATGTTTTCTGAAGTGTGGTCAGAGTTCAAGCAGGCTCAGCTCCTTCATCTGAATGTGCACTCTTTGCCCACAGGCACCCCCGCTCGATATTTCCTCTGAGCGGTGGTCGGAAAGGCAGCAAGTGGTTCAGCTCTCTGTGGTCACAGTTTTTGAGTCCTTTTAGAAGGCACTTTTGTGTTTCTGCATCGAAAACTGCCGTGAGGATGCTGGGCATCTTGGTTGGAGTTTGTACTGGATGAAGTTCTCAGCTGTGCGTGGTTTATTAAAGGATAATGGTGGGAGGAGGTGAGAAGGCAGTTTATTTTGAAGTAGATAGTTTTGCTAGCCACCATGCTGCTAGAAATGGATGAGCAGCCCTGAGAGTGTTGCTGATGTGGCTCAGAGTCTGATGCCCTCTTGGTTCACCCAGTGGTAGCCTCAGGACACTTCTGTGAAGACTGGCATCCACTCTTTCTACCCTCCTTCTGCTCTCCTGTCTGTCTGTCTTGTGTGTTCTGAGGACTATAGGTGAATTTTATTTATTTTGCTCTTCAGCTACACCACCCCGAACCACACCACCTTGAAGAGGCCCCACCCCATCTGGTATTACTTTTTCCCTTTGTGCAGTGCTGGAGAGAAACTCTAGTGTCTCCATCGTGACAAATGCTCTACCACTGAGCCACATCCCCAGCCCTTCACTCCGACTTTGTACTAGCCTTTCCTTGTTGGTAATTTTGTCAGCTAAGATGCTTTCTTCTTGGTGGTTGACTGAGTTGCCAGAACCTTTACACCTTGTAGTGTAATGATGCCTGCTCCTGGTGATAAGCCTGTGGATCACTTCTTAGAACTTGCAAAGGCAGCTTCAGAGAGCCAAAATGGAATCTATCAAGGGTCAGTACTTCCTGTTCAAAAGCATTCACTAAGTAGTTGAAGATGAAGTTGTTGAATATGATCTCTCTCTCTCTTTTTTTCCCCCTGTGATCCAAAGGAACTGCATTTGATAGCCTATAGCATAGGGTAGTATCTGACTCCAGCATTTGATAGCCTATAGCGTAGGGTAGTAGCTGACTCCAGCATTTGATAGCCTATAGCGTAGGGTAGTAGCTGACTCCAGCATTTGATAGCCTGAAATGTGGGGTAGTAGCTGACTCCAGCTTTTGGACCTCTGCCTAAGTAACCCGAGTTGTTTTGTCATCGATTCTCCCGAGCCTGGTAGGTGAATTCCTGAACTGTGGCTTAGGACCTTTAGTCATGGCATGATCTGTTCAGAGGGTAACTAGTAAGTGGGAAGCTGGTGGAGGTGTCCAGGAGGCAGGAATCTGGGGCCACCTTGCTGCTAGATAGATAGCTGGCGCCTAGAAACATCACTGCACCCCTATCCTAGCCTGGCCTTGGACACAGGTTGGACTGTTCCTGGCAGTGTGTAGCAGACATGTTGAGCTGTGTTCCAGGGACACATCTGGTGATACTTTGAGTACAAAACCACGTTCAGTGTGAAAATGGAACACCTGTTTGAATTATGATGTCAGGAGCCAAAAGTGTTCACTGTAGAAAAGGCAGATGAAGTCATAGCAAAGGTTAAGTGACAGTTAGACACTTGCGCTGCTTATTAGGTCTTGCAGAGGACCTGAGTTTGGTTCTCGGCACCAACAACAGCACGTTGCAACCCCTATAACTCCAGAGTCCTTCTTCTGGCCTCCTCAGACACACACTTGTGGCAAACATTCACATACACACGCACAAACACAAAAATAAAAATCTTACAAAAAAAGGGGGTGCTGGATTTGGTGCTAACCGCCCATGTAGTGAACTTGTGCTGGGGAGATGGTGCAGTGGGTAAGGGAACCAGCTGCCACATGCATCCGAGAACCCGAAGAACCTGAGTTCAATCTACGGGCCTCAAATGGTAGGAGAGAAGTGACTTTCACACCGTGGCATGTGAGCGCCCCACACGTACACACACTCTCTGAATAGGAAATTACAAACTTGCTAACTTAGAATGCATCCTATTAGATAAATGTGTACAATGTATGGGTGTGGGTGGAGCTTACCAGTGGGATTAATACTACCAGTTATATTCTCTCAGCTGCCATTTTCACCAAAAATGGATTCTGTAAACATCGCTCCATATCAGTTGTTAAGCTACAGTTAGGCCTTTGTTCGTCAGTGGAGAATAGTAATAGGAGAGGCCGGTAGTGCAAGTAGCTGAAGTAATTGATGTTCAGATGGGATGATTCTGTACTTAGAAAACTGAGACTGAATGACAGTTCTGATTCTTCAAATTTACCACTTCTTTCCTAAGCTACCTTAACATTTTTAAAAGGATTTATTTATTTTATTTTATGTGTGTGAGTGTTTTCCCTGAATATGTACCACATGTTTCCCCTGGTGTCCCAATATGACAAAAGAGGTCATCTGAGCACCTGGAACTGGAGTTACAGATAGTTAGTTATAAGTCACGGTTGGGTGTTGGGAATCGAATCCGGGACTTCTCCAAGAGCAACAAGTATTCTTAACTGCTGAGTCATTTCTCCAGCCCTTTTGGCCATTTTTAATGATTAGATATGGCCAGTGACTGGGCCCAGAATCTTGTAGGAGAGGACGACCGGCAGTACTAGGAGGTAGGTGCGTTTTGACAGAAGTGCCTTCTGTCAGGATTCAGTGCTAAATAGAAAGCTTCACTGGTGCTTGTGTGTTCTTTAACATCAACCTGGAGAATGTTAGCTCTCAAGGTGCAGCCACATACACCCGTTTTTTACATGGCATTCTAAATATGGTTAAAATGTACTTACTTGCTCGTGGAGTGTCCTCATTGTTTGATTTGGATACACTAGTCATAGTACCAGTAACTTGTGGATGTTTTTAGATTGAGGAGAAAATATAACCTGTCCCCCATATTACAGATGTGCAAACTGAGGCTCCATAAAGATAAATACCCTTGCACATGGGCACAGCAGGGTGGCTGAACAAAGAACTGTCTCCTAAAGAGCCAGCAGCCACAGCCTAGTCAAGCCCCAGCATGTAGGAACTCAGGAAAGGTTTTGTATGGTCTTGAGTGGTGTGAGAGAGCAGGCCAAGAAACAGCACTCCTCCTAGAGTTCCCTTAGTGATGGAGTGTGACCTGGAAGGTGGGTGAGCCAAGTAAAGCCTTTCTTCCTCTAGTTGCTTTTGGTCAAAGTGTTTTATCACAGCAACAGAAACACTAAGACAGGGAGAAAAGGCAAGATGAGAGATGGAGATGGAAAAGGAATTTTTTTTAACTGTAAGAACTATACATTTTCTCTTTATCTCCCAAGGAAACAAATGCATTATTTCCTAGTCCTTGTGTAGGACCATTTCTTTGGTGAGGACTGAACCTGTAATCCTGTATTTGTGGCAATTTGATCCTACCGTACAGTATTAAACGGGAATGGTCTGATTCTGTGTTTCCTTCTCCATTGATTTGTGGAGTCAGGAGATTTTCGTTAGCATAACATGCTTGTTTCCATGGCTGTGGCA